AAAAAAAAAAAAAAAATCGTACAAATGACTATTTCTTTATATTTTTCTGCCATGTTATGTCTCACTAGTAGTTAGTTTTAAATTTTAAAAATTTTCCTTTTGAAATAGGTATGGGTCTTGGATCAGCCGCATCAGCAGCTATTGGTGGAGCAGTATTAACGTTACAGGCGGGAATGGTAAGTGCTGGTGTGATTGCTATACCGGTTTCACTTACAGCTTTATTAGCAATCTGGGCTTATGTTTATTACAAACCTAAAATTCGTTCATGTCTTCATCATGATTGTCACAGTGTCTAATCATTCCATCTTATCAGCTGTTTAACACTTCGGTTGTTGATCTTGCTAATTAGGAATACATTTACGTCATGATCATTATTGATATCAACAAGTCGAATTCATTCACAAATGATTTATATTATGTTGAGCGAAAGTCAACGTTCTGTTTACGTTACTTACATCATTTACACCTTGCTCTATTTTCACCAAATCATTTTCTACAATGCAGTAAAAGGTGAAAATGTAATCGGTATAAAAGTAGCCAATTGTGGAAAGCATTACCTCAAACTCAAGCAAATCCTTTTAATAAAAAAATTAAAGTTGAACTTCCTTACATGCAATTATTTGAATTGGTCTAATTAAATGTTTGTTTATCATTGTAATTAATCATTCTGGAGTTCTTGTAACCTTAAACACTTCTTACAAACAATCATTCCTTCACAGACGCATCAAAGGAAGCTGATCGATTTCAAACTTCCTTATCATATCGTCTTTCATGTTGTATTCCGCTGTGCCTTTCCAATGCTTACATTATTTACAAAATCCTGTTTGTCTGTTTATTTTGCACAGTTCATTAAATTTTGATAAATTTAGTGGGAATTTTGCTGTAAATTTCGCATGCATTATCCATAAGAGATGTTGATTCAGAAAATATTATCAAATCTCTATCTAGAACCAACTATTCCAATTAATTTACCTTGCTTTCCTTTTCCACTTCGTCTACCCATTTCTTATCTGTTTGTTTGCAATAAATTACTATTATCAATAAATTATTCCATCAATTATCATTTAGCAATTTCGTGTAGTCTTAATTTTTCTAAACATTATTACAATTTTTCACATCTTTTCCTTTTTTTTTTCGCATATGATATCATCCTATTTTGTTGCAATAAATTGAAATGAAAAATAATTTTCTCTTTTCTTATTTTCTGCCATTTTAAAAGGAAGGAAGAAGAAAATGATAACACAAATTTTGCTTATTCTATCATCAATAAATCAGTTACTAACTTTTAAGATTTTCCAGATATATTACTCCCTATTATGGATAAACAGCAAAAATACGAAATACGAAAATTAATGAGTAAAAGCTTATAAACGCAAAAAAAATTTGAACATTAAAGTAAAAGAAAAAGGATGGTGCATTACTTTATGTACAACTAATTGTTTGTATAAGGCATTAAAATTCATACATATATATATATCTTTTTCATTTTTCTTCCTTTATTAAAATGTAATACACTGATTTTATGCGAAAAATCAGAGGAAATTTTTTTTTCAAATTTCATGCTTATTAAAGTTCAAACCTTTTTTTTTCAACTGCTATTCTTTAATCTTTTGAAAATATACTTCCGCATTTAGTTTTAATTTGTCAAGAAATTTCAACTCCTGAAAATTTCTCTTACATTATCTTTTTTTTTTAAATTAAGGAAATAGCAAGCACGATATTATAATATCCGAGAAAATATGTAGAAAAAAAGAAAAAAAAATGGAAAAAGGTGAGTTAAAAAATACTTTCATCATTTCTTAAATTTATTTGAAAAAAAAGATGATAGCAAAAAGCATTTGATATATGCATATATATATAGCACTAAAACATAAAATGTGGCAACCAATCAACAACTTGTTGGGAAAATTTTTGTATTAAGCAAATAAGCACCATTGTACACAGAAAAAAAAGAGAAAAAATTATAATGCAAAGAAGAAAGCAATAAAAAAAAGGAATATGAAAAATAATGGAAATTCTCATACAGTAGCATCCAAAATGAAAACTTCTAAAATCTTTAATTTTTTCAGCTAAATTTTAAATATTTGAAGATAAAACAAATATGAATTTATATTTAATTTGAAAAAAAAAGGATGCTACTAACGTGGATTACAATTTTGGCAGAAGAGGAAATAAGAAAAAATGAAAAACCTAGCAAAAGAAGAAAAAAAAAATTGGAGAATGCCCTGATCACTGAAATATCGCCCCGTCTTGCCTCGTATCGTTAACTTGATTTTCCAATAAACAATGCCAATCATTTCTTCGCTGTGGATCTTCATCTAGCGAACTTTCATATGGTGGTGGAGCTGAAATTTCAAAGATACAAATGGAATGATTATTTGGAAAAGGAAAATTAAATTAAAATGGATCGATTGGTTTGCAACTTTTGAAGCTTACAGTTAATATCTGAAATAATTTTGATGACACCATAGTTGAATAAATAAATTATTCATTGTCATTTAAAGTTTGTAATTTTATTGAAATAAGATAAGATCGATATATCAAATATTCTGTGAATAAGAATAAAAATTAATAACAATTTTGCAAATGTATTTGATCAAAAGGGAAGGTCTGACATTTTTTAGCTTTCTAATCTGTTTTCCGGTAAGTAATACAAATCGTTCCCTATCCGTTCTGGACTTAAAAATACTTTTTGCCAGAATCCTTTTTTTTCATTTTTTTTTCATTTCAGGCAACAGGAATTATGATCATGCATGAAAATTAAATAACTAATCGATGAATTTAGCAAAATTACGACAAGCTTTTAAGAAACAATTAATTATGAGGATTTAGAGGAATTAAAATCCTATAAATTTTGAATTTAAAAAAGCATTAAATCCAATACGATGCAGAAATTATCATTAATTACAATATTGCAACTTTCAGTTTGACAGTCACCGTAGTTTTTCCTTACTTATGCATTCATTTGCTTCTTTAATAATTTGGTCACATTAAGAAGTAGCAATTCCTACGCTTTTCGAAGCATTCATTTTCAAAGTAATAATTTATGACATTTAGTCCGAATATTAAATTTAGATTCATAAAGACTGGCTGAAAGTTTGTCTGCAAAACTTTTAGATTTTTAAAAATCTTTCCTTGTTGTAAAAGCAGTTAGAGACTTCAGAAATATACCTCGGGAAGAAAGCATATGGCAAAATAAGTAATAGCAAATGTGATATAATGTGATTATTCTACATCATTTTAATGTCAATATAATCACTATAACCAGAGCTGTTTGATCTATCAACATAGCATCTTTTTCAATGGTGACATATCTGGCTGACGTTACGTGGACAGTTAAAGGAATGCTTATAACCGCATTGGGCTGCTGTAAAACGATTGCGCATTAGACAACAGTTTGGTCACAGCCGGTATAAACTGTCGGAAATATATTCTTATCCTATATTCACAATACTTGACAATACTTGTCAATTAAACACCTTATCGAAATATCTTAGACGGATTTTGTGAAAGTATTAGTGGTAAGAAATAAATATTTGAAATATTATCTGCTTATTGTAATGTATGAATTTTTCGATAGTATCATTGTAATTTCTTGAATTGTTTGGACAACGATTTCAGAGCTCTGTATGGATTGATGAAATTTATTGTTTATTGTAAAGGATTAAGTGTTCTGAAAATTGAATGAGAGTGTTACAGAAAAGTGCGGAAGCTTCCTTCAATTACCATCCCAAGAGAGAAAAACGAAGTCGAAATCTCGTTCTGTTATTGCGAATTTCATTATTTATGCAGTGGCAATCACGAATAATTTATCTGGAAATGCCTCTGAAAGAATATTCAATTTGTGGGAAGCCGGAAAACTCATTGTAGAATACGAGATGGCACAAAGCACGGATTGACAACAACTTTTTCCTGTTAACCTCCCCAGAGACCTTCAACCTTCCCTCCTTTTGCATCCTTGACATTATCCTTTCCTACTTAATGCTAAAACTAAAACATCCCATGTTAATATAATTTGAACGAATTACTTCCACTGTATTTATTTATTACAGGAAAATTTGCAGAATTTTTTAGACCTTTAATACGTACTACTTTTTAAATGTATTTCCAGTATCCTGAAATTATTCCGAAATCTCTCATTTTTTCTTTTCCTGCAGAAGGAAATTCAAAATTAAGACAACAGAAACAAAATTTCTTTAATTAGTTTCAAATTTATTCAATATTATTATTAGATAATATAAAACTATGAAATTTCCCTAAATTTATACTTCATTCTCATACAATCCCTACCAAATTGCAAAAAAAATCTTTATTCTTAATCGATTCTGAATCAATCGCATTGGTTCAATTCTCACATTTCTTCAAGAAACGATAATGTTAAAAAATGTCTGGACGGGCGACTTTCATCACTAACGTGTCCATCTATATAACTGACCAGGTGGTCAGTTATATAGATGGACACATTAATGGTGAGATCCATAAAAAGCTTTAATATAAAAATAGTTTATTCAACAAACTGAGGTAAAAGCTCAAAGGCTACAAGTCATAAATACTATTATATAAGCCTATAAGCACATACTTCACTATGATTAGTTGACAATGAAAACATGAAGATTTCAAATCTCATTCGTTAAAATTAAAAATTTTTTCTTTTTGGAACTGTCGGAAGAGATTGAAATTCATGACAGTTGGCTAAGCCTAATTTAGAAGAGATTGTTGAATAATGCAAGAGAACTGATGGATAGCAATGTGAATATTGAATTTCCTCTTCAGACATTACACCTTTTTTCGGTGTTTTATTCCGGAAAGGAATCGAGGCTGTATTGGGCTATAATAATGCGGGAAGGGAGATGTTTGCGAGAGCCAAATCAATCGTGGCAGATGTATGAATTGCATTTCCAGTTTAGTAACAGGTTAAACCAATTCAGTTAACATATAATCTAAGAGTAAAGTTTAATGTTATGCATTTCAGACTTGAATTTCGCTTTTAGATTGGGATTTAATTCTTATTTCTTCTAAAATGAAGCACCAATTTATCACCTGAAATAATGTTTCGATCCAGTAGAAGGTATACAACAAATATAATACCATTTCTTAAAGAAAGTGAATAATTAACTTTCGGGATGAAAAGAAGAAAAAGACGAAATAAGAAGAAAAGAAAAAAAAGAAAAAAATGTCGCGCATCAATTTGGTTCAAAAAGTTAATAAGTGAAAATTTTAAATTTCCAAAACAAGAAGATTTCAATCCAAATTAATTGCAATAAATTTTCGTTTTCGTTTTTTCGTTACATTCTTA